TGGAATAAAAAAAGCACTTTAATCTAATCTAATCGAATCTAATCGAATCTAATCGATTCTGGAATTAATCCAGATTTTTGGCATTTAGAATGGAGTCCGTGGACAAAAACTGCATTCCGTACATCCACTGGAACGCAACTCTCTGTACGTTATACGCATTATAGAGCATGATTAATATTAGCCGTGGAGGAGTGGTGCACTTCTACGTGTTTCGCTTTGACGTGTTAATACAGCGAGCTCGATGAAGTGATTGTGAAATGAACAGGAAGTGGGTAGTTTTGCAGAAAGGGGAATACAACTGCATTATTGAGGGTCTTTTTTCAAGGGTCTTTCCGTTTTCTTCTCGCCTTCTGAACTTGCTCGACTCCAGATGGCGATCGGAAATGCAAAGCGCGTACACGTTTTTACGCTGAAATCAGCACCAACTTTATACGTGTAACATGTGACATGTAACTATATGGAGCAAAGCAGCATGGGCCTCGTTTAGTAAAACTGATAAACAGTTTTATTAGGAACGAATGATTTGATTGACTGGGGAAAAAAAAAAAAAAAAAAACACGGGATTTTATTTATTTATTTTTTCTCGAATCTTCAACTGTCCAGTGTGGGTGAGTCTGCGCCCGTGAGAGCCTCAGATCCTGCTTCTTGGCTGACAGGAGAGGAACCTGATGTGGTCCTCTGCTGTTGTAGCTCATCCACCTCAAGGCCGATGTTTTGTGCATGCTGAGATGCTTTTCCGCTCACCGCATTTGTAAAGAGTGATTATTTGAGTTATTCTGTCTTTCCTAGCAGCTCGAACCAATCGGGTCATTCTCCTCTGACTCGCTTACCAACAAGGCGTTTCCACCCACAGACCTGTCGCTCGCTCGGTGTTTTTTGTTTTTCGCACCACTCTGTGTAAACTGCTGTGCGTAAAAATCCCAGCAGGAGATCGGCAGTTTCTGAAACACTCAAACCAGCCCATCTGGAACCAGCAACCACGCCAGGGTTACAGTCACAGAGATCACACTTTTACTTCATTCTGATGTTTGATGTTTGACGTTTGATCAACTGAAGCTCTGGACCTGCATCTGCAGGATTTTATACACTGCGCAGCTGCCACAGGATTGACTAATTCGATAACTGCATGAATGTTCAGGTGTACAAGTGTTCCTAATAAAGTGGGTGGTGAGTGTTTATATGTACCTGTATGTATGTGTGTATGCATGTGTGT